GTGAGAGCAGGGATCGTAGCGAGAAGGGCGACGATCTTTCCACCTCTGAGAAAGTTTTCGAATTCCTTCTATCCACGACGACCTCTTTTCATCGTCGTCATCATCGTTCCCTTCCCCTTTCCTCTCGTCTCTCCCTCTTGTTATTTCTTTACATTTACATTTAAAGCGTGCCTGCATTAAAATTAACTCATGGTACTGGTTTGACTATGATGAAAGCTAATAATTTACGGGTTGTATTTTATTCTATTATTTCGAATACAAATAAACAAGAATAAAAAAAGGAAGTATAATTTTAATTAAAATAATCGTGATCCGCGCGCGTGATTTATTTTAACCGATACAACTTGGAGAAATATATCTTACAATTAAATTTGAGTTTTTATTATTAACTTTTTTATTTCCGTGATCATCTTGAAATATTATGAGTGTATTAAAATCATGCAACACGTTCTAATCTTTTTAATAATATTCGGATATGTCAAATATGTTAACAAGTTCGAATTCGTTAATTTCTTTATTTATTAGAGAGAGAAAAAGGGAGAGATTATGTATTATTTATCAAAATACATATGTCATTACCTAAAAATTATATTTATCAATATATATCAATTAAGATACAAGACATTCCGTTTTCTGTCTTCCCTAATGATTTTCGACAATACGCCAAAATGCACTATCTGTCACTACAAATATAACACGTGCATCTATGATCGAGAGGAAGGCCAATTAAATATACACAAGCGCACTTAATTTATGTCTTTTCTATCAAGTCTCACTTTTAAGGCCGCCGGGTAAAATTCTCAAGCTCTAAGGCGTTACTCGTGTGTGACGCGTGCAATTTCTCGTGGAATTATTCCACGCACGCCAACGGCAGTTCGTGATATATGGTCAGCCGCGCGCGAGACGTGTCCCTCCTACACACGTGACCCCTGACTCCGGTCCGAATATTGAATCACTTTAATATCTTGGAACGAGATACACGATGCGCACGACCAGTCATGGCTCGTCCCAATCTTCCAAGCGTACGTTCAATTACATTGGTGGCACGTGCGTACCTGCCTATGTAATCTTAGCAGCGACATCAAATTATCGAGCTACTTTACCACTCAGTATCCTTATAAAATATTTATCGCACATTCGTGCTAGTAAGCAGCAAGTAATTCCCCCACTAACAGATTTAAAACGATTTATATATAATATATATATATATATAATAATTATCACTCACCGATATGATGCGGAATTCTAGTATATTGTGTTGTATCTGTAAAATACACAAGTATATCCAGATTATATATAATGTACAAAATAATTAATAGTTTAAAAAGTAATAACTATGCATAATTATTTTTTTCATCTCTTAAACAAATTCTTATAACAAAGATTATATATAATTTTTGAAAGTTATTAAGTAGTAAAATTAGCAAATTTTTATTTTGATTTTAAATTTTTGAAAAATATTATTTTAGTTACGAACCTTTAAGAAATATAATAAAAATCTAATTTTTATATAGATAATCTACTTATAAATCTTAACAATATAAAATATTAAATTTATTAATTATTAATATTAAATATTAATTATTAATATTAAATTTTAATATTAAATATCTGATTGTGTATGTGTGTAAATAAAATAAATATTTTCTTATAAAACATTTTAAAGTAAAATCTAAATTAATTTTTATGTATTATATTACAGATAACGCAAAATGAATTATCACGATCTTATCATCATGGAGATAAAAAACGAACAATTAATTTTAATAATAAATAATAAATTGCGAAATACTCACTCAATGGTTACTACCGATGGCACCTAACCTCCTTTTCTCGTATCCTTTGTTGTTCCTTTGTCGCACTCACAAAAACACTCACTTGTGAAAATACAATTAATTACGATTATGCGCGCACGATTGTAATTATCAATAAAATATCTCGATTGTGCAGAACATTAAACGACACTTTCGACGTTACTCAAGCAGGACGCACACTCTACATTTCGAGAGAATGGAGTGAACTGAATCCATAATTATGCAGCCAAATTCACGTTTCGCCACCGGAACATGATTTTGAATGATTAATAATAACGTTCATAGTCAACAATATATGTATATATTTTGATCAATTACAATGGCATAAAATGTATCTCAACGTTCTATCTAATTTTTCATCATATATTTGCAACATTTTCGTCTACGAATGCAAAATTTGAGAATGACAGCGGCAACTTAACCTTGATGCCATATGATATGATAACGATTCGAGTCAAAGATTAAAAAAGACGATAAAACATTAAAAATACACAATCGTAATTCAATATTACACGCGCAAAATATTTCGAACGAGTAAATCTCGCGGAATATATTATTAACGCTCGATATATCGCGCCTTTTCGATCACTCCATCTTGCGATTCGTGTATTGCGTTTCAATTCGAACCTGAATATAAATCGCGTGAAATACCTGCCTTGATGAATAGCCGTTCTCTCGATACATTCAAGAGTCATTAATCGCGAGAATTAATTAATCATCCGGATCGATAATCGTTAATTGCAATAGGAAACGATTACGTTATATTATAATACGACGACACACGCGGAGCGCGATGTGACGTGGCTGTCCTGCTCGAGTCTCGTCGCGCGAATGACAAGGCCACCGCGCGGTATGTAAACATAGCGAGCAATGTTTACGTGCCTTAGCCTTGAATACTAAACATAGCACAACTCTTAATATTTTCATTGACGCTGTGAAATATTTAACGCATTACAATATAAATTTTATGCGAAACATTTTATTTGAGTAAAAGAAAATTAATTATTATTAAATGGTTAATCTGTATACATACGTGACATTTCTTTATTTGAATTACTCATTCTTGGAATTTGTATATCATTTAATTAATTATTAATTAAATTATAATTAATTTAATTATATACGAATTATGAATACGTAATTAAATATTATAGTAACGTTAAATATATATAAAATACGTGACATTTCTTTATTTAAATCATTAATCTTCCAATTCGTATATTATTATGTTTTGTTTATACTTGAATATAAAGTGACAAAAAAATCTGCTACTGTTTATGTTTCATCATTCGGACGACGATATTCGAATAGAAAAAATCATCTAAAAAAATTCTAAAAAAAATCTAAAAAAAAAGTCAATCTAAAAAAAAAGTCAATAAAATGTTTCGCATAAAATTTATATTGTAATGCGTTAAATATTTCACAGCGTCAATGAAAATATTAAGAGTATATCGCGTTCCCTTTGTCGTTATATTATATTTCGAAAACCGATCATTTTTCATTACAATTAAAAATTTTCAACCTATGAATGTAATTAATTCTCGCGAGATAGAGATAACGATTATTCGTCAAGGTAAATTATTTGCCACTTTATAATCAAGTGTAAACAAAATATAGTGTATTATATAAATTATAAAATTAAGTAATTCAAATAAAGAAAAGTCGTGGTACTATTTAATGATTTAATTAATTTCTTTCCATGGAAAATATTCCGCATAAACTTTTGTTGCAATTAAATATTTTTTGACGATTGCATTAAGTGTATTAAGTGTTACATATTCGGTCTTTTCACATAGTACATCGTATTAAAATCAATAAAATTATCAATCAGCATTATTAATTTCTATCATTAACGATTTAGAAGCATGTCGAGACAGCGAGAGCTATTGAGCAAATATTTCGCATAATTTATATAATGCTGAAATACAATCCGAAGCGTAATAATATGTTCAGTAATGAAAGCAACAGAAACTATATTTTCACTTATTTTATATTGTCAGCATATTATTTATTATCAAAAAGTTGTATTTCGTGAACAAAGTAATTATCCGATTTTTTATTGATAATCCTAATTTTCATCTTATTCCCTCATTGTAATAAAGAATGCATCGTATACGATTAAATTTGAGAGCGTAGTATAACGTTCAATCGACATAATTACGATCGTGCGCTTAATCGTAATTAATCGTATTTGCGCGAGTGATTCTTTTGTGTTATAAAGAAACAAGAAATAAATAAAAAAGAAGGAGATTTGGATGGTTTAGGTGACAGCGAAGCAACTCTTAAGTGAGTATTTCTTGTAACTTATTTATTATTAAAATTAATCGTTCGCTTTTTATCTTTGCGATAGTGATCTATTTCACATTATTTTAATATTACGCACAATGCAATGTAATATAATAAAAAGTATTTCAAATTTTATTTAAAATATAAATTATTTCTAATAATATATATATATATTTTTTTTTAACATTGTCAAAATTTATAAATGCTTAGAGTATTTACGTAAAGATATTAAATTATATATATATATATATATATATATATATATATATATATATATATTTTTATATTTTTTAAAAGTTTATCTAACAAATGGTTTCCGAAAATATAATCTTTTTATTAAATATTTGTTTAAAAAATTGCACATAATTATTTCTTAAAATCATTTTGGACTCTGTTTTAATTGGAATATATTTATATTTTACAGATCGGTGTCATATATATATATATATATATATATATATATATATATATATATATATATATATTACAATTATACCGTTACACATTATGCCGATAAGTACTAAATTATTTTTCATTTTAATAATGGAAGATAGATAAAATAAAAAGTATGGAGATAATAAAAATGTATACAGATATATTAAATATATACATATATAAGATGTGTTTTATATATACTTATTTAAGAAATATTAAAAGAATCGAAGGATTAAAAGTCCTGTTTTTATCAATATATAAAAATTTGAATTTGCAATGGTAACAGATGCCGCAGTAAAAAATATATTTTTATTTATATTTTTATGAACTATTTGATATATTTAAATTTATTTTTTATAAATATACAAAAAAATTAACTTAATAATTAATTTATTATAAAAATTTAAAATTCAAGTCAAGATAATCTCAGGAAATACTTTATAAATATATTTTATAATTCAAATTTTTTTTTATCATACATGTGAAAAATTACTAGCGGCCATCTCTATTTTGTATTAAAAATGTAAATAATGTGGCATTCTTCGGTATTTCATAGAAAAAAATAATTTTTATGAAAATTAGGATTCAAAAGAACTCGTTATATAGATCGAAATTTTCATGCATTATATATAAATGTGCATGAGAATTTCTCTATAATTAAAACTATTTCTGAATTTTATTAGCAAATTACTTTTCCTTCAACTTGTGATAATTTTATCAGTTTATATCTAGCAAAGTTTTGTAAGCAGAAAATTAGCAATTTCTTATTTTTGCTCCTGTTTGCTAAAATATTCCAAATTAAACAAGTGGATCTTGTTGTAAGCATTATTTTTAGAATTGTATTTCTAAAAATAATCTGTTTGTGAAAATGACTATATTTATTTTCAAATAGGATAGATAAACTTACTAAATAGGATAGATAAAGAAACTTTCGTAACATTAATCATTATAGTGCATATCTCATATCTAAATGCACACATTTTATTTAAAGTTGTATATAGAGTTACTGTTTGTTCTATTCTGTTTTTCCAGTTCATTCTATTTTTACATTTTTTGATTTTTAGACAACTAGTTGTCTTAAATAATGATGTTTATGGATTTGCAATTTGTGTGTACAATATGAATAAAAAAATATTAAAATTTTAAACAGTATGTTCTTAACATCGTCAGATCATAAAAAATTAAACTAATGATATATTAAAAAGTAATTTAAAAATGAGTTATAAACAGTTTCTCTTTTTGTACGTAATATTTCACTTTCCCATTGAACCAAGACTGCGTATAAAGAAGAAAATAAAATCTGGCGAATTTCGATTGCAATCTCACATGATAGTGAATATTTGTAACAAATAATAAACCTAATTAATTTTAAAATAATTGAGAGCAAATTGTAATTTTTAATAGTTATTAAAATAAAAATCAAATGTAAATACGGTTATTAATGGTTGATTAACAATTTGCGCACATATTGTTTTTTTATGTTGAATATGCCCCTTTTATGCGCATGAATTTATATGTTAAAAGATTAATGACATTATTTATATGCATATACATATACACTTCTATTTTATAAACTTTCCATAAAATATCGATCTAAAGATGCCTTTTTAGAAATGTTTATAAAAAAACATGTATACATATATGCCTATACATATATGTATATGCAATCGTATATGTCTAAATCATAAAATAAACGCCATGAAGTTTTCGACAAAGTGTGTTGCTCATCAATGACCCATATAAAATACGAATTAAAATAAAAAATGTTAGCAAGAGCTATGTATTATTGATATCGAATAAAAATAGCACATCACACACAATTTGCAGTACGATGTCATACTTGTCACAAACGGCGGCATCTCTGCTGCTCGCCACGGAGTTTCTCGGACACTTATCAACGTCATTAATATTACACGTAAAATCGTACGTTTAATCATCGTTCTCCTAGCGAATACGTGGTCACTTGCTTTGATTAAATCGTCCCTTCGTTTGCCGTCGTGATTGCGTGATAATCGAATTCGTAAGCAGATTTTCCTCAAACGTATCCACGGTGAAGTCTTGTTCTTTGTGTGCTTTAGGCATGATTCTGCTGGCCGGTCCGTTTCGCCTTAAGCGAATGTTTATTGCGCGTTCCATGATACCGTTTCTAATTTGCTGCTTTTTCTTCTGCCCTTGGAGCTGCTTGCCCGTTCTGGAAGGTAGAGGCGGCGGTGGCGGCGGCGGTGGCATCTTTGGCGGTGGTAACCGTGCAGCTGGACCGACCGGCAATCGCGGTGGACCCGCCATTCTCGGCAGACCTGGCATACGTGGCGGGAAACCAGGATGCGGGAAACCCGGTCCGGGCGGGGTCGGCGGCATCGCTGGGCGCATCGGCGGCGGTCCATACCTGAAGGGCCTAGGTCCGTAAAGCGGTGGGCCCATGGGCGGCGGAATGGGGGGCATAAGCGGAGGAGGCATAGGTCCGAATCCCGGTGGTGGACCCGCGAATCTCTGAGGTGAAAATGGACCACCGTTCGCGAAGCTTCGACGCGACATCGTGAACGCTGGCGGTCCCATCGGTCGACCTGTCCGGTTTTTTAACGAGCGTGCTTTCTTCTTGGTTGGAACTGCGGTAGGACTCGCCGACCTTAAAACGACTTTGCTCGTATCGATCCTCTCACTGCATTTAAGCTCTTTCAATGCGGTGAGATAAATGTCGCGTCCGATGGGATATCCGCGTGCGTCCCCGAAAGCTAAATACAGAGAAAGAGAATTTTCGTTTGGACAATAAGTTTATCAATAGAACGACGCATATTTTTATGTAAAATATAAGCTTGTTGATTGTCATCATGTCAGCTAACCTATTTTGATGTTCAAGGTATCTATAATTATCATTCTGAATGAGAAACTTGTAGCGATACACAAGAAAAATTATTATGGAAGAGAACAAGTCAGCAAGTTATAAAAATCTGATTTAAATAATGCGGGAGACAAATTAATTATTATTTATTTATATAACTTGCGAGAAAGACTAGTTTGCATATGTAAAAGAAAGACTAGTTTGCATATGTAAAATCATGGCCTACTATGTATATACTATTTTCATTCGCGGGCGAACATATGTACGTAGAACCATGATATCTTTTTACATCATGCGTAAAACAATATTTCCTTATAATTCATAAATAATTAATTTTTTGTTGATAGAGTTTTTGACGTTTAATAATAATTATTTACATAATTAAACGGTTGATTAAAATTAGAATTGTAAGATGAAATTCATGAAATCCAATAGTGATAAAATAATATGGCAAATAAATTTAATACCTGATATAAAGTAATTTATATAATTTTAAATAATATATTATACCTTTTTCAAATATATACTAATGCATATTCAACATTTAATAATAATTATTTGTGATTAAAAAGTCTATTAAAATTATAATTAACTCAACCATAAAGTCCAATAATAATAAAATATTATAATAACTAAATTTAACGTAATGTTTTTCAAATAACATACCTTTTAAAGAATCTTGAATTATCCAGCCCAGCTGTTGAATGAGATACCTATAAAAGACAGTATCGTACACCTTTCAATGGTTTTTCTCAGATTGTTCCAATGTCCGATATTTATATATAAATGATAAATAAATGTCATCAATATAAATTACCTCGATATGATATTAGCTGTATAAAATTCTAACTTTGATTCTAAATGAGTATTTAAATACCCATCAGATACATATTATGCAAGTATATGGCATACTTAAAATTCGAGTATAAAACTTTGAGATACAGTTTAATATCTCAAGTAGTAACAATACAATATTTAATTTAATTGATTAAAAGCAGAAGCGAGATATTAATTAAATAATACTTACCTACAAATTAGATAACCAGTGCGATTCACTCCGTGTGTGCAATGGATTCCTATAAGTTCACCTGCAACAAGATCATTTACACCATTTTTGTAATTCCAAATCTGATAAATAGCAATTTCAGTTTTTGAGCCATAGCATTATTACAAATGACGTCTTATTATATGATTACGCTTCGATACATTATTATAAAAAGAAAAAAATCAGATTTATAAATTCAAGTATCTGACTATTGCAGACGTTTCTCGCGTGTATTCTCTTTTTAAGATATTTCGTAAGTAATGGAGTAACACATAATCTCGATAAAGTAATTATGCGGCGACGCGGATGAGAATCCAGTCGGCGGGACACGCGATCGGTATCTCGAAAGCACTTTCGAGACGTCGAACGGCGGCGAAAAGGACGCGGAGAAACCGACGAGATATTCGCTTACGAAAAAGGCGTGCAATAAGGATGCACCGCTACGCGCGGCAAGACATACGATTCCACGGGTCATCAATTCGGCCTAGGGCATGGGGTCGGCACCTCTCCGAGCCCAGCAAGGGGCTGATTATAATATTATCGCAAATTACCGGCAAAAACTGCGACGAATTCACGACGATTCGTGACTCCGGCTACAGCCAGCCGTTGGATCGCGGCGGCATTTTCGCAAGAGCCGCAATTTTAATAAGAGTAGTTGACCGGCGCAACGATCGAAGAACGCGTCTACCGCCGCCTATTCTCTTCTTTCTTTCGCCTTCCCTCTACGATCTCCCTCAACTTTGGCGTCTTCTCGCTTTCAGCGAAACGCGAACGAGCGGAGGATAAGTACCAAGTACTTTAGAGGCACTTCGTACCTCCTTACGGCTCTCAGTGTGAATTAAGTGGCCCATTGCGGGTCATGCGATACACCGTTTGACCTCTGCGAGCCGCTTGACCGAACGAAGAGTATCGGTGAATCTCTTGTAACGATACACAAGCGCGAGTTACGTCCCTCTCTTTCTGGAATAGACGTACTGTACTACTCGCGAAGGACAATAATGCAAATATATGGAGACTGGAAATGCGAGGCGATAAGATTTTCCGTGAAAAAATCATGATAAACAGTCTAATAAAACTGTTGACCAGAGCTATCTTCGATCTAACATGTAGCATCGCAGAAAAAAGTATATGAATAAGCATCATGTTAGTAGACTCGAACGTAAAAGTTGTTTCTTCGTAAGAGGGTCCTTGAATTATCATATATAAGAAAATAACGATGTGAAAATAACAGAGATTGTGAATGCTTATAATATAAATAACATAAATAAAACATAAATTCAAGGGCTCCATAGAAATATGAAATATAAGAAGGATTATAGAGAGAAAGATACTCTTCTATCTCTAAATTTATTAAATTTAGGTTTATTTTACGAGCAAAATTGTAATCTCTCTAGAAAATCGATGGAAGCAAAATTTTGCTATTCCATTCTATTTCTTTGTTGAATTGCTACTGAATAATTTGAAGGATCTCAAGAGTTTATGTGTAATGAATATTGTGATACATTCATTACACTTAAACTCTTATATGATAATCCAAAGCTATATATTTTATAGATATATAGTATATATACACAAATATATAAAAATGAAAGTTAAAAGAAAAACTGATATTTTTTATATATTCCAACATTCACTAGATTTTAGTGAATTGAAAATACCACACGTTACAATATAATAACAATCCAAATAAGACTAGAAATAATATAAATCACAGATATAATTCGATATTCCAACTATGTGTGTGTTTTTATACATATAAATATAAATAATAAATTAAATTCGCTTCACGTATGTATCTATCACGAGGTCATCTCAGGTTTGCATACGCCAGAAACTTACATCTCTTAGCGGAATCTCAGAACACGTCGACATCTAATGTGAATCTAGAGCCGGCACCCCCGTGGTGCAGTGTGGTCTCTATATTAACAAATATAAACCGATTTTCAAGCATAAATTGTCGAAGACATACAACTACTTTATATGCGTTAATACAATCATTTCCTGAATATTATTCCTTCTCGACATTTTCATAAAACAGAATTACGTATTTCATATTTAATTTATGTAAATTACATAACTTAAATATTTGTCTTTAATTTATATAATCATTTTTTTTCTCACAAATAAATTTCTGTCATAAAATTATATTTTATCGTAAAGTACATGTATTGATATTAAACAAAATAAAGAGGTAGAGGAATTTTTCACGCGGAATTTTGCTTATCGGAAATCTTTGGCATTTTGAAAACGTGAAACTCACGAATTCGCACTTGACTCATGTGTACATACATGTCCATACATTAGTATGAAATTACAACGACCGGAGAGATATTATGAAGGTCTCTCAGGGCACCCTGCCGTCTTAACAGTTGAAATCAAACGTTGCTCAACGGGAGCCGAAGCACAACCACGGTAATAATGTTCATCGGTCGAAAATCAGCCTTGTATACTCAGCAATATCATTAATTAGGTATAAGCCCGCGATTAATTCGGGATACCCGCTTTCTACTGTTAAAATTATTTGCAGAGGTACAGTCTTTTCAGATCTATGTTATAATATAATATAAAGATAGAATACTCATCTATAAATTAACAACAGAAATAATTAATATCGAAAATTTACGAAATCTAAGTATCGGAGAAATCGAAGAAATTTTATTTGTTAAATTTATACAAGAGTATTCTTTCTTATTTAAAAATATTTTTAAGGAAAGATGAAATTTAAATATGATTATTTTATACCACAAGAAAGATTTTAGATAACATCTTACATTTTATTATTATAGATACTTTGTATAAATTCCTTTCATATACAAGAAAAATATGATTAAGTTTCTAAACTCAGAACAGCGGTGCAAAAAATAGCGTAAAAAAAATTCGCTAAACAATTGTTTGAGCAAGGTAGAGATCATTATCATATCTTCAGTTCACGTTTAAAACGACAGAAAAACAGGGAGTCGATTATAGATCAAGCTCGTGTATGTTGATGGGTAAGGGTGGGCGGTCGCATGCAAATATTGTTTTCGTCCGTGCCCCCAAGATACCGCCGACGAAGAAGTAAAAGACAAGACAATGCACCCGGAATTGCACGTGCCACTTTGAGTGCAACGTGAAGATTGGTTTTCGGGCTACTGAAGTGACCCGAAGCGATGCGGTAAATGTGGCAATATGATATACACGCGAGTAAGGTACGCCGGCTCAAGTAGCCCTTGGTGGATGCGAGATCCTGGTCGCGTCTGCCGAGAACACTCCTAATAGGAGAGCGAGGAACTAAAAGCCCGTCGGAGATATATGTAAGAGCTGCTGAAACCAAGGAACGACGTTAACGTCCGGCGTACATAAACATGAAAATATCGCCGGCATGTTACTGCAAGTCTTTTCGGGCCGCCGATTACTGCCGTCTTAAATCAATCGAACGCTCCAAGTTCGGTCGAAACGCGCATCGTATACGGAGCGTGTCGCGAAATGCTCGGCGAACGAAGGATTTTGCGACTTGTTTGGACAAAAGTAAATATTAATCCGGGCTCGACATGACAAAAATATAACTTCGATTTTTTCGAATAAAAAAAAGCTCAATAACAGTTCAATGACTTAAATTTTGAAGACATAATTAGATATCTATATCGAAATAATTCTTGTGACATAACTCGGTGTAATTTAAATCTCTTGAAAAATTTAAAGGAAACACTGAGATAAACAAGTCTAACACGCAATTTTGATTTTTATATGAATCAGAAATTTAACAAATTATCGAAGAGATAAAAATGATTTGTACGAGAGTCATTTCTACTGATCAACTGGCGTCTCGGCATTGGAGGTTTTGGATATACGGTATTGATAAATGCTAAGTGGTAACGAATGGGCAACGAAGCGGCTCTTTTTGCCTTGGAATGCGTCTCGACTCGTTCTTCGATGGACCACTCCACCTCCAACCTCAAGATAGTTGATTCGTGAGTTTCCCACGTACAAATCTGATTGCTCTGTAAACCGCGATAACGTAACGGAACGCGTTCATGCGATTTCATCGGCGAGAATCTGGAACAATTACATCCGTTTCATATTTTACAAAGTTCCTAAGGAATTTTAAAAATTTCAAGAATTTTAGATTTTGTGTCAAAAACCTGAAAAATACCTCATTAAAAATTCTTTTTTATTTCATATTACCTGAAAACTGTTGTGTATGAGAGCGTGGAAAGTCGAAAAATGATCTTAAATCTTAGATACGTAGATTTAAGATATAAAGCACACAGTTGAATGTAAACTAAGAGATTCTTAAACCTTGCTTCTTAAATTGTACAATGAATTCCGATGCAACCTAACAGATATGATTGGTTGTTCGGCATGAAAAAAAAAATGAAAGAACAGAAACAGATACGCAAAGAAGAGGATAAAAGGAAGAAAGCGACGACGTGAATGTGAAGAAAGAGAAACGAGAGTAGGAGGAGAAAAAGAAACGCTCGGGGGAACTTTCTTCTCTACTGGTTGATAAACGGCGGCAGATAATTAACAATGTCTCGGTATGTGTATTTCACATGCGTGGGCGTCCTCGAATTCTGATCGGATTCGTCGGGATCGTCCCTGTTGTCGTCGTCCTTGTCGAATCGTTCTTCTCATCCGAAGCACAGAAGCCGGGCGAATATCGTGCAATCGCGCCAATAAAACAACCACCGGCTATTCTACATTCGTTCTCGCAACGTACAACACGATCGAACCGTAATCGAGGGAGTAAATTAGAAAGGGATACACTCGTACAGTCGTGATCAACAGTTTCATTCGAGCGAGGATACATACGACGATTTTTATCAATTCTTTCTCGTCGAAAACACGAATATTCGTGTTGTTTTTTTTTTTTAAAGAATTGTTAAACAAAATTTTTTACAAACTATTCTAAGTGTATTGTTAAACCTGATTTATTATACATTTTAGTTGGCGCCGATCAGAGTCTTGCAATTTTCATCAGATATCTCACAATCAGTGATGTAATTATTCTCGATCAATGTATAAAGCATTATATACTTGTACAAGATTCTGCTAGATGTGAGAAAGTGATTTTAATCGCAGAATCAGAAAACTTTGTTAGAAAGATAGAAACTTGTATATAATTTATAATAAAGAGTCGGCGAATATATAATATTTTTTATGTAATGCAAACTCACCTTCGCCGCATGTTGCCATGAAATCGTCCATCACTTTAAAGAATCTGCAAGGAAAGAGAGCAAAAATTTTTACTTTTAACAAAGCAACAGCTGTACATTAATCTTTATTTTTTTTATAATTTTATTTTCCAAAAAGATATTACGAGATGAGAGAATCTACTTTTCAACAATCAATTTAAATTTATATAATATTACGTGACCGGAGCCAGCTAAAAAACTTTCCTATAAAAAAATAAGTATCATTGGCATAACATGTATATTTAACAGCGTTTTACATGTATTTTTGTAATAATAATCAGTTTGTAGAACAACTTATTACTAACGAGCATTAACATTCTTCCTACTTAATTATTTACGTGGAAGAATAATTATTTTTATCTTGATTAAATAATATAATTAACATCTTAAATATACCTGATATATAAATGTTACAAACATGCATAATAATAACGCCGCCTTTGAGGAGACAGAAATTTTTTATTTTCTCTTTATTTGCTGTCTATAATTTTACGAAGCAGCCAGCGCGACGGCGATCGAATTTCCATGGAGCCGATGAAAAAAGTAATCGGCTAAATAAATATTCAGGTGCTGGTAACCGGTCGAGTAAACCGGCGGTGTAATAAGTGTATGTAATAGGTATGCAGAAGCCGAGCGGCAAACGAAGGGGTATGGTAATGAGACTTAAGAGCCGGGACGTTGCACATCCTGACTTACGGGCGAGTGCAGCGAGTACGAATCTTTTATGCGTCACGTAAGGGCGCTAAGAAGTTAAATCGATTCCGAATTATGTCATGAAAACACGGCGCTCACGCGTCCCTGACGTGAATTAATAATAGCTGCAGCGGCGGCGATTTTTCAACGGGCAACACATTTCCCCTTTTGTCTCCTATAAACTTTACTGTGAACTTACTGAGGCGGCTTCTTTGTGATCTATGGGATAAAAGGCAAGGAGAAATGGAGAGACAAGAGAAAGGGATCTCTTCGAAACTTCGCAGATTCAGAGAGATAGAGTGGCGCTTATATAATAGTTTACGAGGTGCAGCCATGCATCACGTCGGCTCTCCTTCATCACCGTCCTCGAGAACAAGAACAGGAGAGATGGGAACAAATTTATTAATGAATTAAGCCTCTATTTTGATTCGGTAAATACTCGATTTACAGAAATACACACATTATACACATATTCTTCTTGCGTTCCTAGAAGAATTCCGGAAACATTACTAATGTGACATTCCATGTCACGTTGATGTCAACATGTAATATTGATGTGTTAAATATTATATTAAAAATATATAAGATTATATATAATATTTTTATTATATATATTTTATTATTTATATGTATGCAACAATTATAATTTTTTAAAAATATTTTATCGATATTTAAAATAATAATTAAATATGTTACTATGTGAAAAGAAAGAGAAGGCAATTCATTGCTATCAAAAATTTGTCAAATTTCATATGTATATATTTTAGAATTAATTAATAATCTGTGGGAGATATTGTTATATGTAATACGTAGAATACTCTTCTTCGGATAAGTTTGATAAATGTGTTAACATTTAGTTTCCATGGATATGAGAATAGTGGTGACAAGCATAAAATCTTTTCAATCGTGAGCGCGGCTACGCGATAAACTTCTCCAAAAAGTTACTATGTTCATCATTGTACGGGGATTGGGTGGCCCAATTGTAGCGGTCTATAGAGCTTAATAGGACCGTTTTAGTGCCTTTGGTCCCTTTCAACTCCGAAACGGACTCCCTATACCACCGATTAGACTAACGCGATTATAAGCACTAACTCATTCACGACTTGCCGACTGGTCTCGACCACCGTTCAATACCGATGGGTTACGAGGTGAGAAGTATTTATAACCTGCGATGCCTGTTAACTCATAATGACTCTTGAAATAGGAGCATCATCTCGTTTGAGGGAGGAGGGAGGAGATGTGTGAACGCACTAAGATCGAATCGTAAACTGTATTCTTATTGTTAGAGTTGTCACACACACAAGTATACAAATGTCATAATAATCTTAATAATCTGACGAAAAATTTATTTTTACAACAGTACATCATAATTAACGCACGTGATAAGAGAAACTTACATTTACGGCTCGTAGTTTGCAGTACATCGTCTACAAGGTCAATGTAAAAAATAAAATATATCTTTTAAATACGTATCGGTAGCAGAGTAACGCACAATGTCGACTGTCATTCGCTCACACGGTCGCGCATTTATAATACTTGAAATATTCGTGGCGCGTCTTCCTCGTTTCAAAAACGTGACAGCACAATCACGGAGAAATGCATCTATCACGGGGGATGAAGGCGGAGTGGGCACGGCCTTCTCCGAGATGAAATATTGAAAGATAGCTGCCGGGGCTCCGCGTGCCGCGGTGCGGCGCCGAAACGTGAAAAATGACGAGTGTTAAATTAATTTGACTTTCGGATTTGAATTACAGATTCGAGGCGAACGCGGAGGTGTCGTTGAACACGGCGTTTCGCACTCCACCCTGTAGAAATTCCCCTCGAAAAACCCAATATCGAAAACCAGCTCCAGCACGATGATGCTGATGATGATGATGATGATGATCATCATCATCATCATCATCAGCGTCATCAGCGCGATGACCATATTTTCTATGCCGTCCTCTTCGGAAAATCAAAATCAAAAGATCTGACCCGCTATGTGAGATGAATGGCCATATCAATATTTATAAAACCAGTCATCCATCAGTGACAAACTCCACTCCAAGAATATTTTACTGCGTTACCCACTATAAATGCATAGGTTTCATTGCGTATACATACACATATATCTATATATGTATAAATCGCATGTTTATCTTTATATTCAATGTCGCGAAATATCATTTATCTCATTCCGATGTTGACTAACAAAATTGATTAATTCAGTTACTGAAAATACTTCAGCTAATAATGTAATTCCGTCTCGTGACGTATAATCATATAATTCATATAATTCATATAATTCATAATATTATATAATTTTGTGCGTTTTTAATTTACTTATGTTTTTAATATACTTTCCAATCTTTTATGATTAAAAAAAATTGTCCATAATGCACTCTTATTATTTAATGCAAATACTGATATGAAGAGAGATATTATGATAGAACAATTTTCATACTTTAAACTCATTATGCAAGTTTTTAGATAACCGTTCAATTTAATTGTTAATTTTTTTATTTTTTCCAAAAGTTTACCAACTTATAAATTACTTAAAAATTTATTTTTATAATATGCGTCGCGCGATTATAATATATTTAATAAAATATATTATATATTACATATATATTATTTATATATATATTATAAATATATTATATATTATTTATAAAATATTAAATATATTATATATTATTAAATAAATTATATATTATTTATAAAATATATAATATATTTTGAATAATTTCAGATTTATAAATAACGTTACATATAAGTATGCGCAACTTTTATGGCAATTAATAGCGCCTACTGGAAATCACATGGTATCCATAACCAAGGTGTTAATGGAACACGGGGTCTTACAATCTTCTCAAGTCTAAGCGACTTCGTCGCTAATTAACTATAGAGCGTATATCGAGATTATGTTGCCGATAACTCCGGCCGGTTTTACATAAACCATGAAAATCACGTGTGACGGACGCGTCGGAGGCATTCGACTGGAATAAAGTGAAGCGCCCGTGAAACCGCGAAATGACATTTATGGTAGCGCGATTGTCGGTCGTAAGCGGCGTTCATTTGAATATCGCACGGTGTGTGGTCCTTCGCACGCGCCCACCGTACTACGTGCTCGTTTGCGTGCGTGCGTGCGTACATGCGTGCGTGCGTGTACGTAACTTTACCGTGAGATCACGATCGGGCCGTGTCCACGCGTGAGGGCGATGCGATTGCGTAACACAATCGCGCTATCTAAAAATTTCATCGTCGCCCGCTATTTAAAAATCTAAATAGATATCACGTTACAGTTGCTGTCCAACGAGATGATGATAAATAAATACACCATGGCGCTTACGAGTTTTTTCAGGATGCAGACAGGCCCTGATTGTCATCCGCGAGGACATATAAAACTTCCGTTAGGCGAAGGATTTTTTACGATAGATTTCGTCTGGCCAAAAGATGATCGAAATATAAAAGAGAAAACGTAAAAAAAAGAATCATGGATGTTTAATCGAGTCGAAGACAACTAGTCAAATAGCTTTGTGCCTATAGCGATTCGTACTTCACGTCAACATAGGTAAATAGCAGTTTTATTTGACTTGTGCATATCTTGACGTGAAATCTTTTAATTTTTAATTTATTTTTCCTGTACAATCATGACATAATGAGAATTTTTTGCCTCTTTATTTCTTTCATTCTGCTATGTATTATTAATAATCTCAAAACGCAAATTTTTTTTTACTTAAATTTTATGGTTTATAAAAATATGTAGACACGTGTGTATATAAAAGTACACAACACGCGTTGTTTTTATACCGTGAAGAATGATGAGAAAGGCAATCGATAGTGTCATTGATCGACATGCGCTATCATGTAAGCCTATAATTGACGTAATTCTTTAAATTATGTAAAAAAATTTTTTTGGCAATATTTTCAAAATTATAAAATACATGTTTGTTGAAAATCGCGGATAAGTAGCTATGTGTACTTGCGATCGGAGTAATCCTGCTACAGAAGAATATTATACTGCATTTTCCGATCTTGAGACGTATATAACCTAAATTATCAACATTTCTACGATCAAAGTGAAAGATTATCTGATTTATTGAGGATATATTGGAAATCTTATAAACTTCAGATCACCACCAGAAGAATGGCGTACGTCGACACGATATCATGAGGGAGATATTGCACCAGAATACATATCGACTCCATCACGGAGAACCCCACGAGATTATTCACGTACTATTCCACGAATCCCTACGAGAGGTCCACGTGGAATAGATCTCACAGCTGGAGTGGCCATTGTTCCACGACGAATCGATTGTAAGCACAAAACTCGGGTATAATCAGACAA